TAGTGAATTGTTACCCTGATACTTTCATTTTTAATGAAAAACGTTTATTAAAATTTATTATTTTTGAACGAGTCTCAATAGACAGCATATCACATTTAACTCTTATATACACATGTGTATAAAGTAACATAAAAACAAGTGCAATGCAGCTGGCAATTAGCGCATTTATCAGAGACAAAAATGTATCATATTTAAGTCATTATTGATCAGAACTTCACATATTCTGGCTGCGCTATGCTATATAGAGTCATATATACATATGCGAACATTTCGGCATTTCAAACATAAACCACATTCATTTCCGTGCGGTTTCGGACATTTTGAGTGTTGCCAGAACAGCTACGATACGAAATGGTATGTGTTGCACCTCAATCCAATGCCAATCTGCAGTGCTCAGCGTCAGTTGACCGCACGGCTGACTGACCTCGTCTCCAGTTGCCAGTTTTCGCTAGCTTCAGTCCATTTTTCCGGTCCAGCTGTCTGTCTGACTGTCTGTCCGTCTGTCTCTCTGTCCCTGTGTTCGACTGTCTGTTTGGCTGGCACTCGTTCAGGAAATATGTCAAAATCGTATTTGCATTTTTTTCTCATTTCGCTTTGCACTTTACCTTGTAACGTGTATTTGCCTGCAGCTTGTGTATGCCCGGGCCTCTTAATTGAAATCGATATGGTCTCCATTTCAGCTGATCCATATTTCTAACCCAAAGATTGACTTCCAGCTGCAGTTGACCTTGTGTTAATTACGGCTTGAATAATTGTTAATAGAATACAATAGTCGTGTCATCAATGTCAATTACTCACAACCATTTTGACTTTTATAGAGACACCCGCAAAAAATATATGCTAATTTTCTTAATTGAGTTGCCTGCATTTGATTTGTGCCGATAACCACGCAAATCCCTGTCAATTGAAAAGCTAACTCGTTATACTGTAAGTAAGAGGTTCTAGTCGGGAGCTCCCGACAAGGGGATACCCTGAACCCTCTTCTTCCAACATCAAATGCATATATATATTCTATTTTAGAAGCTATATGTCAAGTTTGGTGACTCTAGTTCTTATTATTTACCAAAATTGCCCAAAAACAGGATATCGATATCGAATTTTATCGATTACTTGGAAACGGAGTAAGTTATCAGTTATCGGAAACAAACTCGGTCTGCGCAGGCACTAGGAGCACCTATATCTAAAATTTCAAGTCTCTAGCTCTTATAGGTTCTGAGATCCTTGCGTTCATACATACGGACGGACGGACAGACGGACATAGCTAGATCGACTCGGCTATTGATGCTGATCAAGAATATATATACTTTACGGGGTCGGAGATGCTTCCTTCTGCCTGTTACATACATTTGGATTTTGCACAAATACAATATACCCTTATACCCATTTTGAATGGGTTCAGGGTATAAAAAAAATACATTTACAACTCGAAATAGACAGCAATTAGTTTGAGCAATCTATGGTAAAAATTCACTTTGTCTATGTGCTTTTTATGCATTTTTATAGAATCTGTGAAAGTTGCGTAAATAAAAGGGCATATCAATTTTATGTAAATGCATTTTGGTTGCAAATGGTTATTAGCCAAAAGTTTGTTCATTCAAGTTGGCTGCAGATTTGACGAGAATTGTGTTAATCCTTTTTGTTGAAGTTTGTATTTTCTGCGTTTCTGGATTGTAGAAATGAAAATAGATTTTCAATGCGATGCATGCAGGTTGTTTCTTAACATTTAGCACATGGATATATTTGAATGGCATTCGGTTTAATTATTGCCTTACTTTCGAACAGATTCCAGGGTATCTTCTGTTGACCATTACTCGACTACAGAATTATTAAAAAATTGTGCAGCTATTGAGAAATGGCAGCAGCAATATGCGCATATACATAATATAAATATGTATGTAATAAACTCCTGGCATCAATGCAGTTGATGGGAAAATTTAATAAACTTTTCAAAAAGGATTTGTCACTATCAATTGCAGCAAAAACCTTTTAATACAACTGAGAACACATACAAATAAATAGAACGAATGAAAGAGAAGTGTTTTGTTCGAAAGCCGAAGAAAGGATGCCTTCAAATTCTAGACACTGGCAGACTACAAATAATTATGTCAGCCTCAATGAAAGTCAAATGAAAATAATCTTTGGCGCAGCCTTTTGGCAAATCACAGATAATGCACAAAAGTGCATTTCTTAGCAGCAAGTCTTGCCACACACCCTTCACGACAAATGGAAGTCAAATGATAAAATCTATTAGCAAAAAAAAAAAAAAAAAAAGTAATGGCTTAAACGAAGGCAGCTGCCAGCTAAATGAACGTCATAGATGCTGTCCTCTGACAGTTGGCGTTGCGAATCCCAAGAAATGCATCGAAAGATGCGTTGAGTCTCTGTGACTGTGAATCCGACTCGGCTTGTCGGCAAATGTGCGTCAACAGCATTAAATTTGCATAGAATGCAGCTGACTTTTGCTGGTGGACTACCTTTTTAATACCCTTTAGTTGGTCAAAATATTGTTGAGAGATTGGTATAGTCATGCTTAGCTGACATATGCATCTTATGCTATCTATAGGATCTGAGAGGCTTTGATATTCAGGCTCTTGATTAGAATGCTTGTCTTAAATTTTAAGGCATATTTTCATGTATCGAGAAAAATTTTTTTAAATGTTGTTTTATATGCACGTCAACTTTTGTTGCTCGAAAAGGAACCTAAAGGAACTTAAAGGAACCCTTCAGATATTATCTGAACATTTTTAGACATTCTTAGAGAGTATCTTCTAGTTCAGCAGCTATTCAATCTTCTTAAATATTCGCAGCGATAGCAAATGGAAACAACGTCTGTTGATTAAAAATGCAAAAATGCAGTTATGATAGATAAAACAAATGTGAATAGAACGAAGCAATTATGAAATATAAAAGAACTTAATAAAAATAAAATAATTGTTATAAATTATAATTTATATACAAAATTTCAAGATTTTACAAGCGCAACACAGTTATACAGTTATACAGTTGTTCGTTAATTACAAATCTTTAAAATGCGGTTTTTAAATGATTTAAAATACGATATTAACATACGATCTCTGAATTTTCATATGATTTAAAAATACGATAACTAAATAATTTTAAATACGATTGTAAGAAAACATATTTAAATATTTTAGAATATGACTATAAAATACTATTTCTAAATATCTATATATATTTCTAAATATGATCTTCAATTAGTTTAAAATACGATCTTTAATGATTTAAAGATACAAGCATAAAATAAGATTTTTTAAATTTAACTTTTATAAAAAACGATTTTAGCATACGTATTTACATGTTTGCAAAACAATAATTCAACATCTTGCTTAGGAAATCAACATAAATTTGTTTAAACAGAAATCTTAACCCTCATGCCTAGTCTCTGATAAATGGCTTAAGAGTCAATATTTGCGAAAGTTCAAATATCAGAGCATCTGCAATACTCGCCTTTTCGCCTTATCGCAACACAACCATCTTTTAGTGGAGTAAAAATGCACTTTAAAGTGCCGCCTAAAAGTAAGCAACACTTTTTTTGTCGTCACATCCTTTTGAGCGACAAATGTTGAGGAGAGTAGACGGCTCTAAAGGATGGCTCCTGCGCTGTGGGGCGTCTGAGCGGGAGTCTGAAACTGACTCGAAAAATCAAAAGGCAGCTCTTGAGCCATTTTATTTATAATGAACTTCATTTGGGGCTTTGTGCAAAATACAAAGGCAAGCGAGAAAGGGTTTAATATCGTGTTCCGTTTTGCTGTTGTTTTTTCTCTCTCTCTCTCTGAGGGTGCTGCAAAAGGAAGGCAAAGGGAAGCATAAAAGCCAGTGCAAGGATTGCAGCGTCCTGCTACTGCTATTGTTTTAAGCATTTGTTGTTATTGTTGTTGTTGTTGTTGTTGTTGTTCCGGTTGTTGTTGCTGTTAAGATTAATATGCTGCCGTTTTCTACTACTTATGCTGCCTTTCAAGCTAGCCGTATTCTTAAAGGACGCACAGAGCACGTCCTGACAAGTTGCCAAGTGCGCATGTGTTCGTATAATGACTGCCATCTGTGTATGTGTGTGTCAGTGTGTGTGTGTCTGCGTGTGCTGAAAACTTAAGTCATGCAGCAAGCCAGCGAAAGGCATGCTGCAGCAAGGCAAGCCAAACAAAATGCAACTCACAAACATATCCACATACACTACTTTAAAAGGGGATTTATTGTGCTACATGTGTGTATCTGTGTGCGCGTGTGCATATGTGTGTGTGTGCCTTGATGCTGAATTTCAGCACTCAACTTGCCGCTTTTGCAACTATCAGTCCCAGGCAAGAGTCTTAACTGTTACAAACCCCAGCCCCTCCTCTGCTTCCCCTCTGTTCCAAACCCTGCCAACGCTTTTTTGTGTCAAGAGCGAAAAGCCGGCTGTCTCACAAAACAGAGCAGAACGGCTGGCGGTTGGATGCGGCAGGCAGTATCCACCGAGAACCTAGCGATACCCCTCCAAAATTTTCCGCTGGCATAGCCATTAACACAACTGAATTAAAACCCAAACCAACTCAACTGAACGGAACGGAACGGAACGAAACGGAACTTGCCGGCAATTAAACATTATTCAGATAATATGATGCTTTTTATTTATAATGAAGTTTGCTTCTTTTATTGTTGTTTTCTCTCTCTCTGGCCGTGCCACTTTTCTTTTATGTGTTTCTCAAGTTGTTGCACCTCCCCCCTACAGGCTCGATGCGCAAAGGAAAACTTTATAGCTCATGAGTAGCATGAAATTGTTGCTCAGAGGCGAAATTCTGAGCAAAATATTGTAGCATGCATCAAGAATTTCATCAAAGATATTACCAAAACATCATGAATATGAGGAATTGTTTAATAGTTTATCAAATTGGTTATGCATAAAAGATGTGTGCGAACAATAGAGTCTGGCTTGTAGAATAAAAAGATTAGATACTCATTTAAGTGCGCACCGAAATAATAAATCCAGCATAGATTCTTCTATCTGACAAACTGAAAATGATTGCAGCCACAAGTTTATTCAATTTGTCAATTTTAGCACTTACAATTTACAAGTAAAGTGTACAAGAAAAAAAAGAGTGAGAAAATGTAACCGAAACTGAAGCTACTGAAGGTTGCGTCTTTGCAGTATTTTCGTGATGTCGCCATCGCTTGTGCGTACCAGGTTAATGCTACTGCTGCCCGCCTGGCTGTGCCGCAGTCTCAGGGCAATGCAGGCTGGCGCAATAATGTCATCCACATGCGGCACCTTGGCCGAGACGGGCACACGCTCCAGGCCCGTCCACAATACTTGACGCTCCTGGACATCTTCTGTGGGTGTTGCTGCGATGGCCACCTCGAATGAGCCGAGGCGTGGCATGTCGTTCTCGTTCAAGCGCAGCTGCAGCTGCATATCTGGCTGCAGTGTGCGCAACGCGTCCGCCAGTGAGGCATGCAACTCTGTGGCGCGTCTTCGGTAGTCGGTATGGGCGCGACAGCATTCAATATAGAGAACTGGCTGAAGCGGATTCAATGGCGGTGGCGCGCGTTTCTGCGACATGCTATCGCCTCAGACTCTCTGTGGCTGGACTTTTGGCTTCAGTTTGGTTTTTTTAATTTTTGAATGTATCTCAACATTTTTGCTTGTCTCAGGCACAGCTGAAATTTGACAGCTTACTGCCGGCCAGCTCTGCTCAATGCTGCTTATCGGGTGCTCGCGCCGCAGCTCCCCAGTGTGTCCGCAGCACCCCATCCCCCAAAAAACACACGCACACCTTCATAAATCAAGCCAAAGCGTATCTGACAAATAAATCTTTGAGCTGGCCTGAATTCATATACAAATGCAAATGCGCAATATGAGAGAAAACATAAGCGAGAAAATCTCATTGCCGCCCAGTCACAAAATGTCTGTCTGTGTTTTTAGCCCAAACTCCATTTGTCTGGCATCAAATTGCAAGCTGTCCACTTTCAGCTGACATTTGGCCCATAGCCTTTGGCCGCCAGTTGCAAAACTTTGTACAATTTTGAGCTAAGCAAAACTCATAAAGCGTTTTATATATACATATATACAATTTCAAATAAATACATTTTGTAAATAAAATTCATATAAATTACTTTCTAAAATGCATATTCTACATATATATACATAAATAGATATTTATATGTATATATTTTTCAATAAACCAACTCGAGAACACAAAGGCGCCGTTGCAAGGGGGCAAGGTTGCCTGCCAATGGGTGCCATCTATTCATTTTATTCACATCTATTGAAAGCAGATCAGCGCTGCCAGCAAAATAAAATATAATAAAATATGAAAATACGTAAATAGAAAAAAAGAGAGAATGCACGAAAGCGAGCGGCAGCACAGCAGCAGCAGCAGCCCAGTTATGATAATAAAGCGCTTTGCTTCATTTTGGCCAAAGGTCGTCAGACAACAACAAAAGCAAACGAGCCGGTTCAAAGCAATGCGAAAAATATGGCGTTTATTAAACAGACAGAAAGTCGGCTGTCATGGGAGCAATATCCGCAAATTCAATATCGAACTATATGTTGATGTAGTTATTGGGTTTGTGTTCAAAGGATTTTCTAAAACAATCGATTAGAGTTCGTCTGGATTGTATTTGAAACACGATTTCAATTTTGCATAAAATTACTCAAAATGTCTGAGAACAATGAAAAAAAAAGAAGAGAAAGCAGCGATTGCGCATAGATTGAATAAACATATATAATACAAAAGTTTCAGTTATCAATTTTTTTTATACATTTTAAAAATAAAATTGTTTTCTGTTTTCAGCTGAATTACGAAATTCAATTGTCTGACATCTTAGATTTGATATATATTTATATTTTTTTCATATTTTCAATACAATTGGAAAATTGTGATAAAAGCAAATAATTTTAAAATATTATTTACCTAGTTTTGATCTCACTAAAATTATTTCACTTAACTATTTGTAGCTAGGCATCTTTAAAACAATTTTGTGTCGATGTGCCAAAGATAACCTGATTCAGCGCATCCTTATAAAGTATTCAAACATAATTCAACTCTATATATTATCGGAGGCCCCACATTGCGACATCCTGTGGCATTGACAGCCTTCAGCTTTTGGTAACAGTTTTTCTGCTCGGCCGTAAATTGGCCAATGCGTTTGTCCAGCTTTCCCTTTTTGCCATGAAATGCTGGGATTAAAAAGCGTTTTGCATGTCCATTACCCAAGGGGGCAGGGGGAGGGGGGCTGTGCAGTCTGTGGTTGGGCGGAAAGAAAATGCCGTAAACGAATTTGCGAAAATTATTTGTGCGCCTGGCCAAAGCTTGATTAAATTTTTGCTACGAGCCCGCTGGGCATACGGCATATTATATATATACCTACTATAAATATATATACATATCTAGGGTTGGGCATCCATTGATACTTTGATTTTGGTATGTACTGTACAGAAGGGGGGGAGGTGTGGCATTTCCCAGGCGCATTACGCAGTGCGTCTAGCAATAAAAGTGCTATTGTTGCTTTTGGACTATTTGTTGTTGTTGTTGTGCTTTCTGTATTTTATTTCAATTATGAAAACTTTTTACGCGCCTCAACCACACAAAAAGCTGGGATAAATATCAGACGCCCCCTAGTAAATGGATTTTTGGGACTATGCCTGCAATTTCTTTGTGGTTTTGCTTCATTTTTTTTTTTCAATTTTATTTTTATTGTTCTCTCGCCCCCTACCAAAAACTTTCATTTTGTCGTTTGTCGCCTTAAGTAAACAAACATTTATAGCTCAATTGTTTTTGGAGCGCGCAGCTTTCACGTGAATTGATGAGTTTTAAATTGTTTGCCGCGCCCATATTTCCTTTTCACATTCAATTTGGTTTTCCCTCCTTTTTTATGCCACTTATTGCTGTCAATTATTTAAAATAAGTTAAATGCGTTTATCTGGTCTTATTGAAGCAGCTTTTTATGAAATTTTGTTAAAGTTGCACTGTTTTAGATATTTTTGCTTTTTAAATTTAATTTTCAATTGATTTTTTCTCCAAAGCCTGTTTAGTGTGAATATAACATGGCGTTCCTTTAACTGAAGAACTGTTTTTCATGTTATCTAAAATTGATTCAGATACGAGCATTCACTTTGCTAAGGTATATATATGTATATACGTACGTTTATTTCGTTGTTGCCCTCTAAGAAAAAGAAGCTCGCTAAATGTCATAATAAATTGCATTAGTTTGCCTCAACTTTTGCCTCGCAGACTCTTTCTCGCTTTGTAATGCTGCTTTGTGCATCAACAGGTAAACGTTTGTTTTTTTTTTTCAGTTTCCACTCCTGTTCTGTTTATAATTAAATATTTTTCTTTTCAATTTTTATAATATTCCCTGTGTGCCCTGCAACCGTGGCCATATTGTGCGTTTTAAAGTGTTTTGTTTATCTTTAATTAGCAATTTGTGCCTGCCGTCCACTTAGACGGAGTTAGTTACGCGCGCGGGGTGTAAGGCGACTTAATGACCCGCCCGGAGTGTTGTGTGCATTATATGATTAATTACCTAATTATTGTATTATATTATCCGCCAGCTGTGGGTATTGTATCTGTAAGCCGGCCTGCGGTTATTTTGCTTTTGTTTAATAATTGAGATTACCCTTGGGCACAGACCCATGGATCTATGTATGTATTTACAACCACTCATTGATTTTTGCCCATCGTTTATAGCCATCTCCCTACCAAAAAAAAAAAGGTCAAACAGCAACAGTTTTTGCGCCCCGCCCAAAAAAACAATTGTGGCAAAAACTCACGACCCCAACAAGTCTTTTGTAAATATATTTCGTTAGGAATTCGAAACACGTGCGTCCAAAAAAAGTCGAGTACGAGTACGAGTCGATACATCTAAGCATTGTAAAATACTCAATGCCAAGTCATTTACACTGTATCAAAGGATTTCGACTTATTTCTGATAGTTTTTTGAAATTGGGGTCAGCATAAGGTTGTGTGCGTGTGTGTTTGTGTGTTAAAACGATTGCCATTCAATTTATTTTGTGAATCGTTTCTGCTCAACACAAAATTATTCATTAGCTTTAAATAGTTGCGAATTCAACTGAAGAGGGCGCGACTTTGAGTTAACATGAAGTTAACATGTAGTTAAATTTAAGAGTGGCCTGATAGCCGCTTTGTCTTTCTGGCTTATTATCAAAGCAGCATTCAAGTTGTCAAATGCATTATGAATTTAATTTGTTGCTTATTTTATATTAAATTTACTAATCAGCAACATCTTGTGTTTATTTCTTAACCTCTTGTCAGCAGAGCTTGTTAACTATCTGCCAAGTGGCAACGCCGTGTTATGCAGTTGGCAACATTTTCGAGACGTGCTCAGTAAATCTTTAAATGTGCCACTAAATTTTGCTCAAATGAGATAAAACGAAAATTTATAAACCAATTTGATGGCATATTAAACTGACTGTCAATTTTGACATTAACATGGGCAAAAGGGCGCTGAAGTATCTATTTCTATTTCTGTATCAAAAATGTCAAATGTCTTGTGTTCTTTGCCATGATTTCCATTAGCAAGAATAACAGTTGATGTTGATATAGTTTCAAGCGGTTAGCATTTACTTATTCTGCACACACACACAAACTAGCACACACACACGCACAAGCACACGCACACACATAAACATGCCTAGGGCCTGACGTTGTGGCGCTTTATCACTAAAAGAAACTTGTAAATAAAAAACTAAAATTATTATTAAATTTTTTTTTTCCGGCCAAAGTTTATGCATAAATCCAGACCGAGTGAAATATATGCGGAGTGGGCAAGTTTGTGTGTGTGAGTGTGTGTGTTTGTGAGTGTGTGTGTGGCAATGAATGCTGAGCGCTGTTTTGTATAGCATACTTAACGGGGCAGACGGGCAGGCGGAAATGCGAAGCAAACGCTTTCAATATCAAAGTCACGTGCAAATGTTGTATATTACTTTTGGCCAACAAGAGTTGTTCTTGTTGTTGTTGTAGCTAGTTTCTGTTGTTGTTGTTGCTTGGTAAGCTGCTATTTTCGGCATGCTGGCAACACGCTCGCGTACATATACGATTCTAGATGGAGCTCGAGTGATTTTAGTTTGAATTTTACGTGCCCATCAAAATGATTATGGGCAGGCACAAGCACAACTAACACACATTCATACACACATACACAGCAGGCAACGTTTCATGTTGTTAAGGTATTCATGCACTTCATTAGCAGCGTCATGTCAAGTGGTAAAAACCTCCCGCTGTGTGTGTGCGTGTGTGTGTGTGTGTGACCTGCGGCATTGCTGTTTAGCGTTCGCCAAAGTCGTTTTAATTAAAGTTTATGTAAGTATTAAAATTATGTGCTCTTCCTGCTGCTGCCTCTCTAAGCGTATGTGTGTGCGTGTTTGTGTGCGTTTCGTGTCGAATGTAATCGAATTTCGGCAGCCTGTCTGTCAACCATAACTGCCCAAAAACTTGACTACAGCAATTCTGTTGTTGTTGTTGCTGTTGCCACTGTCTAAAAAGTTTACTACAACAAAAAGTTTGTATTTTAAGTGGTGCTTCTAACAAACGACACCTAAAGCGGTTTTTAATTTGAGCCAGAGAGAGAGAGTTTAAAAATAAGGAAAATCTGTGAGCTCGAATACAACTCATAATAATAGAAACATTTAAATATAATAAAATTCTAC